ATCTGCTACGACACGTATGACCTCTGTGAACGTTACCACAGTAACACACTTCAGTAATTAAATGTAATTTTGTTGAGAGCCATCTGTAGTCATTTTGAGATCCCTGTAAAATTGAGAGACAAAAAACAGATCCTCAGAGACAAACTGTCGGACATGATTAGTAATTGTCAATATGTTTCTCAGTAGACTTATGTAAACAATGTCTTATACGGTAGCTGAAAATGTAGAATATGATCTACAGATAAACTACCTTTAGTTCCGATATCAAGTTCTGACGGCGTTGTTATAGTGTAATATATTATAATATCTAGTAGTCAGTGAAATGTTTTGATGAAAACGATAGAAAATTTATCAAAAGCAACACTTAAAACATCTGTTTATACGAAGCATGTGTCAAAGTTTTTATCACGTTGGTAGCCGATTTCTCCGGCTTTTGGTTGCTGATCTGTGGACACAATCGACGCAGAACCGAGAGAAGCAAGCTCAGAATATTTGAAATTGATTTATTAATTATATGATATCAAACTCCAGATAAAAGCATTTATTCTTTTCATCCAAAATTTTTCTCCCTAAATATTACATTGGGATGTAAATTGGGATACAAAACAAAACTGTACGGCACAAGCTATCAGCGGTCTTCTCTTAAGTGCGGACCTTTGTGAGAACAGTATAACACCGAACTGGATCGTCGTGATCTAAATTTAAGCGATTATTTCTTCACTTCAGAAGCCTAAAACCTTCATTCCCCCCTCAGCTTCCAGACACGGAGAGTTTATATTCTGACTTTGGAAAAAATTCAGCTCTGTAGCGATGTTAAATCGGTGATTCACCGCGAAATGTGGCCAATTCCGACATTGTTTTGATAACTCGAATCACGATGGATGCCACCTACTTTTCGAAGGCAGTACCTTGCTATTTGTTGAGGTTATCATGGATTTCACCAATTTGGTTATTAGAAATGTTCTGAAATAAGCCATGAAGCCGGGCTGCAAAGCGGGTAAGCAGTATTTATAACGAAATCTGCTCCAGTGGTTCGATTTTGGTGTAGGCGAAAAAATCGCGAATGCTCGTACATGTGCTCATTCAAACGGTCGTAACTTTTGAAAAATCGAAAATATACCGGGGTTTTGCATATTTCTGCCTATAAAGGTCTCAAATAAACGGTTGTGTAGGATAGAGTTGTCAACCAGGTCCCAGATCCCAAAAGTTAACGTCTAAATCAAGGTTATTTACGGCCATCGGCTGACGGCGATTTCTAGTGGTCAGAATATGCTAAAATTCACCTTTTCAAATATATTGAGAGGGCAGATTCTAACTTTCTTGGTAAACTAGACAGGTTTTTAAGCAATCTGATGTAAATTCTTTGGCTTTACTATGCGAATCAAGTATTTTACAATGTTACAAAATATGCCTATTTTTCAATTTCCGAGACGTTGCGACGGTCCTTACGGACTGGGAAATAATTATGGCCCCTAATGCAGTCAGAAATTTATTTCGAATCAAACCAAATCTAATTTAGTTCTTTCATACGTAAAGTCTTTCTGTTGACAGAGTTTCAGGCAAAATTATTTTTGACGCGAAATT